TAGTATGAACAGGGCTTTTAAAAAGGATGGTGAAGATTTCTAGACAGTCAAAAAAAAAAAAGTAAATAAAAGAAGCCAAGCAAACCTGAGCAGTTCTGTGGCTGCTACTGCATTCTGGAGAGGCATGCTTTTGCTTCCAGAAGTTGATGAGTCAGTGTCTTAAGGGCTTTTTTGCTAGGGCTGGCCTCTTGCCTGTCCATTCTGAGATTTCTCGCCTCCTCTGATTATCTCTGCTGCATTAAGGCTATTTCAATTTGTAAGTAGGTAGTATGTGTAGCATAAATACTGCTGTCATGCCATGTCATCATGGTCTTTGTTTTTCCAGTAACTCCCAGGAGAGTTAGACCCTTCTGTTGTTGAAAATAGCTGTTTTGGAGAAGGTTTCTGGGAATCGACGACGTTTGTGTGGTAGAATGAAGACTCATGGCCTGTTCAGCAAACTGTACGTTGGATTCTGGAATTCTGGCTTGTTGCTGGGGTCCGTTCAGTTCATAGTTCATAGTTACAGAGCAGTCCAGAGAAGCATTCAGAAGAACTGGCATCCTGTAATAAATGTAAGAACTTTAGTACACTAAACTACAGCCAAATTCAAGGCCTTGAACTTGTATAATAGAGGCTTGACTTCCCCAGTTTATCTTCTGCTTGATTATTAAGAACAATTCAGCATATTTTCCTGGATTGGAGTAATCTATGTCAATGTTGTGGGAGGGCAGAAAGAGAAGGTCAGCTGTTTTTAATACTGGTGTTTTTCTCCTTGGCCAGGGCTTTCTAATTATACCCTGGATAAAATATCAAACTTCAAAGTCCTTCACACAAGGAGGGTTCTCTGTTTTCAGTGGCATTAGATACACATGCATCACATAAACATATGTATCATATGCATTTTGATTTGTATTGGGTAACTGTATTACCTGATTGCTCTGCTCTTGTTTGATAGTATCTTATTGGGAGCAATGAAGATATTGGTCACATACAGAAGTGTATCTTGTAGACTTAGTTGCATTTTGCAGCTGAAGAAGTTATTCAGGGTTACAGTGAACCTTCTCCATCTCTTATGTGTTATGACTGACTGCTGGACAAGAGATAAAGATTTTAAGAAGCTGAGTGGTGGTGTTATGTATCTGGCCTGAGAGATGGATTCAGAAATTTTCTTCTAGTTATGATAAAAACATAGTTCCTTCTACTGTTTTTTAAAAAGCGTAACACAGGAAAAGTAAATGAGTAGGTGTTCATTAACTTTATATTGGAAGCTTGCTTTCTTCTCTCCCTTAAAGTGTCTGCTGTGCTGTCTTCCTGCAATTAGCTTTTATTACGACCAAAACTTATTCTGTTACATTATTTTCTATGCCAGATATGCAGTAATGAAATAGTTCAGAAATGTAACACAACACTGTGAGAAAGCCATTATTCTGTCTGCTGCTATTATGTGGTAGAAATCTTGTAGTGTGTTTTATAAATATATTTTTTCAATTCTCATTTATGTGGTTTGGGAAGTATTGAAGGAGATATTAAAGTGTCATGACTACTAGAAAAGTGCTCTAGGGAGTTTTGTGGTGGTGTGCCCACCTTCCCCCCCCCCCCCCCCCCCCAAGTTATTGGGATAACTGGAAAGCAAAATTTGACATACAATCTTGATGCTGTTCAAAGAAAAGCCAGTAGTAACCAGCTATGTCTTTTTGCTTATCCTTTTCTACCACTCTGCTCCACTCTTATGAGACCCCACCACGAGTACTGTGTTCAGCCTAAGGGGCCCACAACATAAGAGGGATGTGGACCTGCTCAGTTGAGTCTAGAGGAGGGCCATGAGGGTGATCAGAGGGCGGGAGCAACTCTCCTATGAAGACCAGCTGAGAGAGCTGGGGTTCAACCTGGGGAAGGCTCAGGGAAGACTTTAGAGCAGCTTCCAGTTCCTAAAGGGGGCATGCAAGAAAGTTGGAGAGGGACTTTTTACAAGGACATGTAGTGATAGGAGAAGGGGCAATGGCTTTAAACTGACAGAGGATAGATTTAGATTAGACGTTAGGAAGGGAAGCCCAGGGAAGCTGCAGGTGCCTGATCCCTGGCAGTGTTCAAGGCCAGGTTGGACACAGCTTGGAGCAACCTGGTCTAGTAGAGGTTTCAACTGCCTGCCCACGGCAGGGGGGTTGGAACTAGATGAGCTTTAAGGTTATCCTTTCCAACTTTAACCATTCTACAATTCTTTTAAGTTTTCAGTGATTAGAGCAGTCTCAAGCATTGAAAGAGTCTGGATTCACACAAGCTATGTTTAAGAATGTAATCCTCATACACTAGCTCAATGACTATGTGATGCTGAGAGGAGAGCACTTTTAATCCTGAACTAGGCATTCCCTGGCTAAATGGAAGGGAAAATCTGCTTCTTGGTTAAAGTATTCTTTGGTCAGATGGAGGTTATTTCTGTGACTACAGAAGTAATGTCTTTCAACTTCCAGGGTACTTTCTGTATTCTTTCCTGTTGTCAGTGAAATTTCGGAATTTTATGCTTTTTATGCTGTGAGATGTTTCAGAGTGCAGACTAGCTCTTTTTCCAGCTGAGACTGCAGTCAAGGCAGACTGAAGCAATATGCTCTGAGAAGAAGTGTGAATTTTCTCATATATTTCAGTGAGCATTAATAGGAAGACTAATTAGGAGGACTTGAAGCCAAAATTGCTTCCATCAGCTGTAGTTGGATGTACGTGGCATTCCAAGTTTAAATCTGCTTGAAGAGTTTGGAATCGGGAAGAAAAGAAGTTTAAATCTAACTCGGGGCTTAAATTTACAGTAGAATCAGGAAAAATAAAAGTCTAACAGAGTTAGCATATGAATAACTCTGTACTCTAACAAAAATGGTGAAGGAGATCATATATTTGTAATTACTGGTTTCAATTCTAGTTTCAAGACCACATATAAAAATGGTACCTCGCAGTTATTAGCAACATGATCCATCAAGCAAAAAGCTGGTAGTATTCTACTCTCCATTTCTTTTTGTCTGATGTGAGCATCATGTTTGTATTTTATGGCCATCATCAGTACCCTGTCTTAAGTTATGTTGGTCCATTTCAACCAGTTCTGGCAGTTTGAAGTCTTGGAGAGATGGCTGTGTGCTGTAGCTACTATGAAAGTAGGTGGCTAGGTAGGGGCAAGAGACAATGTGGTGTCAGCTTGTCCCTTGAAATGGGAGTGTACATGGTGGAACAGGGACTCAATATGAGGCAGGAAGGCTTCTGCAAGAATTTCTACCTTCTTAGGAGCCCTGGCTCCTTTGGAGCTGGAAGACAAGTATGTAATAGACAGGTACCAGTCAAGGAACTCTTGTAATTTTTTGTGGACAATAATGCATTTTTTTTCCTTATTTTCTGTTGTCCTGCAAGTGCAAGGTGTGAGAAAGTCTGGTCCCAAATAGGGAGAAACGCTAAAGTTGAGGTAGAGGATCTTTATTTGGATGCGTAGAAAAAGAAGTGCTGCCATTTTAAAAAGTGGTTGCACCATTGGAAGCTCTCTTCTTTTTCCTACCTGAATTTTTTAATCAAAGCAATTTCATACTGTCTGCCATGAACCTAAATGAGCAATATGAGCTTGCTGAGGTGTAGCCGTGTGACTCAGTGAGAGCTGATCCTCTAATGAGAGGATTAGGTGTTTATTTCTGGTTGTCCAGAGCCTGTGATGCTCAGCACATGTCACTGGGTATATGAGAGCTCTCAGACAGTCCTCAGTAACCTCTCTTTTACCTCTCTCATTTTTGCTTTTCCATCCCCTCCTGAATATCGCCTCACAGATTTCTCTGTTCCTGATATTTGAGCTTGGGATACATATAATAAATCATGCTACATATGGTTTCTGAGTGCTGTTGTATTTGGTCTGCAAATAACATATAACCTAAATGGAACATGAAATTTTTGTCTTGTTTTTTAGTAAATCACCTGGGGGAAGTGTTGTGCTTTAAGCCCAGTTGACAACTAAGTGGCACCACATGGCAGCTCACTCTCTCCTGCCTCCCCCCAAGTGGGATGGAGGAGAGAGTTGGAATTATAAGCAAGAAAAAACTAGTGTGTTGAGATAAGACCAGTTTAGCAACTGGGGGTAGATGAAAGGAAAAAAAAAAGAGAAATTAAACCCAAGAAAGATGAATTATGCAAATGATTACAGTTGCTCACCACCAGCTGATTAATACCCAGCCAGTCCCCAAGCAGTGCCCTCTCCACCAACCTTCCCCCAGCTTTATATGCTGAGCATGACACCATATGGTATGGAATATCCCTTTGGTCAGTTGGGGTCATCTGTCCCAGCTGTGTCCCCTCCCAGCTACTTGTGCTGCACCCTCAGCCTCCTTGCTGGTGGGGTGGGTGACAGGCAGAAAAGGTCTGTCTGTGTAAGCCCTGCTCAGCAGTAACTAGAACATCCCTGTGTTATCAACACTGTTTCTAGCATAAACCCAAAGCATAGCCCTGTACTAGCTACAGTGAAGGAAGTTAACTCTGTTCCTGCCAAAACCAGTACAGGAAGTATATTCTGAATCGGTGAGATTCAAAAGAGATGAAGAGTTATGTCTGAGATGCCATCATTAAACTGGCTTGTTTCCAGCACTGCCATTTTAAAGTGTATTTAGTGTTAGTGATTTTTTTTTTCATTTTTTTAATTTTTTTCCTTTAGAAAATGAGAAGAGGGGAGATGTAAGAGGAATCAGTCCTGGGACTCGTGAATTGTGATACTTCTACCATTTGTGATATAGAAGCTACCTAATATTATGTAGGGAGCTGCTGTTGCCACTGCTTACTGCAGTTTTGTTTTTGTAATGATGGTGTCTGAGCAAAATAAATTTGAAAATCTCCCACTTAATGTTTCCATTCTCATAATCTTGAATGGTTTAGAAGATCTTATTTTGTCAAGAAACCTGTTACTTTCTTTTTCTGCATTTCGCCTTGAATTTGATGTTTTGCCCTCTGGGCAGTGGTGTTAGTATGAGTTCTGTGTTGTACTTAATGTGGTAAATCTTTCTTCGCAGATCATTCAACTTCAAGTGGTACATCCTCATTTAAGCCCAGCCGGTCACTGGTTTCTATTCCTACTGCCCATGTGATGCCGTCTAATGCCAGATCTTCATTTTCCAAACACAGGGAAGCTTTCAAGTCTGATGGTTCAAAATGGAGTACAAGCTTTGTACGGTCAGGAGGTGGCAGAAATCAGGGTGCCCTGGACAATTCTCTTGACATGAAAGATGCAAAACCTGTGAGAAGATGGTCTTCCTTGTCTAAACTCAGCTCACCAAATACCTTCAGCCAAGATGGCAGTAGTAGTCATTCAGTGGACTCCAGGGCTAGTACAGACAAATCTGTGTCACCACAATTAAGGACAAACGGGCCAAGTTGTTTGCATGATAGCATGGAGTTGCTAAAAATTGAGGACAAAGAAACAGGGAAAAAACGATCTTCTCTACTGGACTGCAAATACAAATTTGAAACATGCAGCAAAGACGATTTTTCAGATTCCTCAAGCAGGAGACATGCCTTAGACTTGACCTACAGTGCCTTACCTGAAAGCAAACCTATGGCAGCCAGCAGCGAAGCTTTTGGACAGAGATATGCAACTCTAGGACAACAGACTGTGAGTGGAGCTCCCATACAGCCAGCAGTGAGGACTCAGATGTGGCTGAAAGAGCAGTTACGTGCAAATCCCCTGGAGTGCAGGACTGCGGAGGAGCCCTACGGCGTAGCTGCATGGCACGTGCAGCAGCTTGAAGATTTTAGAACCGGAGGCGAGCAGCCTGTGCAGGTAAGGCTAAAGCTTGGTGTTCGCTGCCACCATGTGGCATCCCGAAGAAATAACATCAGGCAGGTTCTAATGAAATAGGAAAGGAAGTCCTTTTAACCAAGTGATAATGTTTTAAACTTTGATTAGGGATGCTGCTGCTGTTTCTCAATATTGCCTGAATGTCAGGGTTTTTTTTGGCATCCACTTATGGTTTATTCTGTTTGTTGTGCCATATCTGCATGAGACTAGCATCTCTTTTTGTGAAGCTGGACACAATAAGAGGTCCATCAAATAACATTTTCAGTAGTTCTTAAGAGAGTCTTTGGTCACAGTGTTGTAGGGAAGCAGGGGAGGAATGTGATTTTTTTTTTTTTTTTTTTTTTTATCTGAGTAGCTTTACAAAGATGATGCATGTTTCAGTCAGCAAAATAATAGGGTCTCCTGTGTGCTGCAAGGGTGAATATTCAGATTAAGTGCTAGGCATAGTGATATTGAATTCCATTTGAAATTACTGCATGTTTTTAACTAATTAGAATCAACTAATGGTAGTCAGTTAATGTGATTGCCTAAAATAATATATGTAAGTATTGTGTGTCATACTTGAAGTATTTTCATGTAGAAAATACCAAGTATGTGGTTTTGAGAGATGGAACCCTTTCTAATGTGACAATTTACAGTCTTTGTTTCCAGCTCTTCCCTTAACAGCAAAAGATACCTTATGAAGGAAGGCAGTATTTAAAATCTAAATGTTGCGATGTACCTATGTTAGGTAAACTTGGTTTGCCCAAAACTTCCCAAGCAGATTACAATAGCTAGGATATTATGTGAGCAGAGATAATCTAGCTCTGTGTGTAAACTACTTGTTTTCTCTAGCCTGAAGATATATGAAGTAATTTACTAAGAGCTTTACTTAAATTTTGTTGCTTCCTTCATTGTATATAGAAGGAAAGATAGACAAGTGTAGAGGTTCTTCAGGTCTAATTTTGCTCTTAATGGTGATCTGTGTTTTTTATTTTATAAAAAAAAGCCAACTAATTTGGCCAAAATTACAGTAATCCTTAAAAAAGCTCTCTAAAGACCTGATACTGTTCCAGGGAGCCACCCATTCCATTACCCTTACCACTACAAAACCCCCTCATCTTTCTTTAAGCTTTTTGAAGATTCAGTGTTGAAAAATTCCCCATGTAGAGGCAGAGGCTGATGGGGCTCTTTCAGAGCAAATGTGACAGAAACTGGCTTATTACCGAGGCTGGATCGGGGCACTGCCAGTGGGCTCTTGGCAACTCACAGCTACCAGTGGTGTCAAGGAGCACAGGAGGGGTTAGGATGTAAACCTCCAAGTGCTTGTCAGAAAATGGAAGCTTTAGATGGCCTTCCTTAGTTTAGGTAAATGTCTCTTCATCATTTCGTATGGACCTTTTGTTTGGGATGGGTGTTCTAGGAACTTATTTTTGGTTAAGTCACAACAACTCGCAGCTTTTTTGATGTCTGGCAAGGACTTTTTCACTGTTGATTATTATTAAATACAGTGTCTCTTTCTTGTATGAAGGCAAAGTTTCATGTTTGAAATGGCTGAAGCCCTGTATACGTTATGGTGGTTATTTAAAAACTTTTGTGCATGCAGGCATTGATACTGAGCTGTGTTTTAAGGGCAGAGCCAACAGAGGGAGCACAAGCATTAGTTATGTTTTTGGCTGAATTCATAAAATAAAAGGTGCTTTTCAGGTTTGTAAGACTAAAGCATGAAGTTTTGCCTAAACACTTTTTTTTTTTTCTTGTTATTTTTATATCTGTATCGGTAGCAATTATATATATTACAGGATCCATCTAGCCCTGGTTTAGGAAGCTGTCGGCTGTTTGGTCAGCCCTGGAAAACGGGGGAAGTCCTTGAATCTGTGGCCTTTGCTCTGCTTACCCTGACTTCCCACTTGAATGTGAGGGGGGCCCCCAGGGACTGTGACAGTGATTAAGGACACAAGGGGTGTGGAGGAGGCTTCAGGTGGCCTTAGCAGGTGGAACACCTCTTCAGAGAAGGTGCATCATTCCACTGTGGGTGTGATGTTTGTACCTTTGGAAATAGACTTCCAGGTGGAATCTGGTCTATAGTTGTTGTGCAATATCATGGAGTTGTATATGAAAATAGTTTTCCCTAGCTAATGTGTACTATTTAATGTATGCTTTTTGAAGATAAGCATTCTCCTATGTGTTTCCTAGGAACAGATTTTGACAGTAAAATAATTCCCATGCACTATTTTATATTTTACCATACACAATTTATATTTTAGCATACACTTAATTATTTATTCTCAGTATATGGCTGATCTTTCAGCGGGCATGACCGTTGTGATACCTTATTTACTTTTTTAAACTCTCAGATAACGCACAACAGCGGTTCCCATTTACTGAACTGGGAGGCTGTACAAATCTAGATATATGAAAATGCACAGTCTTTTTAAAGGCATTTCTCAAGGCCAGATCCTGTTATCTAGCTCATTATCTGAATGCACCTAGGTAAATACTGTGTGCTAGTCCACAAGTTGGGTTTAAAAAGAAAGCATGCTTTTAAAATTGTGGGAGATAATACAGTAAGAAGAAAGGTTTCAGAAGGTCACAGATCTACTCACTAGCTCTGTACAATGTTGTAGGCATCACTTTTCCATTGTATGGGGTATCTGTATGATTTCTTCATGGTGTGCTAACTTGTGTCAGAATTTAGCAGAGCAAATAGATGGAAATTGCTTAAGTGCATCTTTTTCCTTTAAGGTATATGGTTTACTATTTTTTCTTTCATGAGGAAAATACTGCTTTGTTAATGTATGTGGGGGTAAATATATACACACCGTGTATATAGAAGTTACTGGAAATCGAATTTTAATGCAGTGAGAGATATAGAGATACTACAACAATCTTCATTTCAAAACAGAAGTAAACTTCATGCATACACCTAAACACTGCAGAACAAAAGTTGTGAAACCTTACTTGAAAGAAAAAGGTAAAATCTTCTTCAAATGCTATTGTTGCCACAGAAAAGTTTATTCTGATATCAGCCGAAAGCTAGTTTTTCTTATGGTCCTGACAGTTAACTGAAAATTATTCATGTCAACATTTTTCCTGTGTCACATGTTGATAAACCGTACTTTTCAGCAAGATAAAACTTTTTAACATGAGCAGTTATCACCTTTGCTTAGTGGAGTGAACTTCTTCACTGCGAGCCACAATTAAGCTCTTCTGTTGGTTGTGAAGTTGGTAGTCCAACAACTGGGATTCTGTTTGTTACATTGTGTATGTGGGCTTAGTCTGGAGTCAGCGCTAGCAGATGATGGGAAGCCCAACTTGGACCATGCTTGATTGCAGAAAGAGACTTGGCACTAGTTAGCTGATAACCTTGCCAGTTTTATATGTCATCTTAAGAAAATGCGTATTTCGGTTTGAGTGACACATTTCAGCAGTTGTTGACTTCATTGATGGTTGAGAGGAGGCTGCTGGGGTTGTATATTCTTCTTTCTGCATGCTAGCAGCAGGGTTTCTTACGTGCTTCCTTTGTATGTAGTTTTGGATCTGGGAATACATGATTGTTGATGACAGTAGTAGTAAAAAGGAATGTATGACTTGGTTTTTGTCAGGACTACCTCATTTATCTCATTTTAGCTATTAAATTGTCACAGTGGTTTCCTTAAGATAGGGAAACCTTCGACTATGCCTACAGACAAATAAGCTTTGTACAGTCCTGAGCTGAGTATCAGTGAATAGCCATTTTGTTAGGAAAACATTTTTTATTCTTTAGATGAGAGTTGGCTTCATGTCAGTTTGTGTGGTTCTGGTATGCTTCAAGCCATGTATGTCAAGCATCAGCAGAAATCTTCCAAAGTGATAGATAACTCTGTAACTGTTAGGACGTATATCCCTTGTATATATTTTTTTTAAAGTAGAATATTTCAAGATTATCAGAGTATTTAGTAAAGTGCTTTCAGTGATGTAGCTATGCAAAGTTTTCTGCTTTAAATGCAAACAGGCAGGAACTGATATTGCTATGTCAATATTAAAAAGTTATAGATATGTAGTTTGCAGAAGCTGTTTTAAATGTTTATTGCACATAGAGCAGATGGGAGAAAAGCTTTTAACTGTCCATGCTGGCCTAGCTAATTGTGCTGGTTTGAATGGGCTGAATTTAATTTTCCTCACAGTAGCTAGTATGGGACTAGGTTTTGGATTTGTCTGAAAACTGTGTTTTCAGCCCAAACCAGCACACTAATGCTGTGTAAGCTTTGGAGCAGGTAGCATAGAGCGGAATGTGGATGCCTGTTAGGGGTAGGACTGGTATAAGCTGTGTTTTGCTAGGCATACTGCTGTTTCATAGAAGTCTTCTTGTAGCTCCAATGTAGATGAGTCTCTTCCAGATCACTGAACCACCCACAATATCCAGTAATCTGGAAATCCTGCGGATGAACAGGAGTCAATCAGCTCTGTAATATACTTGGGATTCTGAGAAGTGCTGGATCAACAGTGGATGTGCTGAATTGGGGATGTGCTGTTGGCAATAAAAAGCTGGAAACTGGGGCTTCCCCTCCCCATGAGCAACGTCGACCTCATTTGCATGTGTACAAAAGACTGTTAATGTGTGTATGTATGGCATTAAATTCACTGTACAATACATATGCGTTGGTATCTGTTCCCATGTTGTCCTTGGGAAAGAGGTGCTTGTTTGGCTCCAGTGTAATATGTAAAATGTACTTCTGGCCACCTTCTTTCCCAGAGTGTATCAAGTGTATAGAGCTGCCTGCCTTCTGGGCAAATAATTCTAGCAGAAGTGAGCTCTTGGTCACTGTCCTTCCAAGGAGCTGTGGGGAAACTGCATCCTGTGAAGGGCCATAGAAGGCCATGTAAGAAGCTTATGTTGCATGCTGAAAGTGAGGACAAGCTATGGACTGGATGATTGCACTGGCAGGTAACAAGTGGTGTGTCAAATATGGCTTGAGGGCTCCCACACTGCCCACTTGACGTGTGCTTGAGTGGTAAGTCTG